TTTTGAAAATCTTTCTTAACTATCACTCTATTGTCGCACAGCAGAGTTCTTCCAAATCGAACAAGCAGCTGATTTTCATGAGGATCATTTACTCTCATTTTGCATGATGCCTAGTTTCCCAGAAGTTGTGGTGCTGTACATGCATTTCAGGGTTATGGATTCGAGTCTTCTTTACGCCCAATTTTTTTTGCAACCGCCGGCTTAAGCTTAGTAAATGGCAAAGGTGTTAATTTATCGGTAGGAAATAATCCTTGAAAAGCAGAATTGTAACCTATTTGTTGTTTAGTTTGTTGAGAAAAATTCAATCACTGTTGTTGATGATTGCAGACGTGTTTATATAGGCGTTGATATTTTGAGTGTTGAAATAGAAAGGTTGATTTGTTTTGGGCGCTTAGCTTTTATTCAAATCACAGCTGCATGGTTATTAAAGGACACAGTCCTTCATTTGAAGCAGGAAGTGGTGCAATATTTTGTGAAATACGTTTGATATTGCTTCAAATTGCAATTGTAATGTGTGTTTATTCATTTTTTTATGTTTTTTAATATATCAGTTGGGCCTGAAATCTCCGAACCTCCAATTGATACCACGAAAATAGAGGGACAAACTGTTGTATTAAGTTGCTTGGTGGCTGGATACCCTACGCCTGCTGTTGCTTGGACAAAGAATGACGTCGAATTGAATTCAATAGCAAATATACGATTGAGTGTCTCTTCCAAGAACGGAAATCACACTTTGAAAATAACAGATGTTCAAAAATCGGATGCCGGACAATACAGATGTGTCGCTAATAACAGTTTGCAGACCTCTAAGTCATCTCCTTCGACTCTTACAGTTCAATGTGAGTTTAAAAGTATATTCGAAGCATTGCATTACTGAATGTTTAATTGTGTCTTCAGCGTTGTTGTCCTCAAATACCATAGATACAGGTTTTTGTAAAGCCAGTCAACCTTTGGTGGTATGCGCACTCGATCATATCTTTATCGCATGCTAGACTGCGCAATATAAGAAATAAACATTATTATTATTATTACATTACTAAGGATTTTAAAACGGACCAAAATAAGTTGACATCTGAGTTTTGGATGGCGATTCTGTAAAGATATGTGTTGAGCATTAAAGGAAACATATTTTTACAGCATCGTCAAATTCACCTTCCAGCTCTGATATCCTCCTTTCCTCCTTCTCAGTTCATCTGTTTATAAAGGACGCAGCTAAATTACCGTTATTCCGTATTTAACTCTAACTGTAAAAATTAAAGAAAAATTATTTTATAAAATTTTATTAAATTTCAGTTGCACCAGAAGTGACAATTGACGGAGATCAAATACATTATGTAGCCAACAGCACAGATTTACAGCTCACATGCAGGTTTCACGCCTTGCCTCCCGCGTCTGAAGTGCAGTGGCTAAATAATGGGAATGTGATTGCATCAACCTTCAGCGTTCCCTCAAATGGGTCAAGAGCGACTATTTCACATCATAATGACAGCCAAGCTAAGTTGTTGATCACCACAGTTTCCTTAGAAGATGCTGGAAATTATACTTGTAATGTCACAAATGTTGTTGGTAGTTTCTCGAATTGGACATCGATTATTGTTCAAGGTATGTTTTGTTATGAATGAACACAAAAATACAATTTCCCAAAGCAATCACTCGGCGTTAATTATCTCATTTAGGATCAAAAATCACCTATCCACTGAAGAGATTTGCATTATTTGTTTATTCGTTCGTTGGTTTGTTTGTTTTTGCTGGATTTTGTTTTTGCTTTGGTATTTGTTTTGTTTTCTTCGTCGATAAGGACCGAGACGAAGAGCTCGATCTTTAAGGTCAAGGAGCCTTTGAGTTGTGTAATCCCTCTGACCTCAATCTGACTCAGAAAATAACATACATCGAGTCTTCCTGGCAAACCCTTTGAAAAATGTCGCACTGATGTTAAAATAGTGGCATCGTCATTATTGGTTTAGTCTCTGGCGAAAAGATATAGTGCTTTACATTCCTACATTTTGGACTCCAACTGGTGCCTAGTTATGTGGATTGGAACCGGCTCGAGAAAATTTATAATATAACCTGCTTGGATATGGAAAAAAACTAATAATAGATAAACTTCATAAGTTTAAAATACTTGTTTGCATTTCTACAGTGACGCCTGCCATTGAGACGCACCCACAGGCTGATCTGGTCAAAGAAGGAGAGAACTTGACTCTCTTTTGCAACGCCTCAGGAAGCTCTTTGACAATATCATGGACGAAAAATGGATCTGCTATAAATTCAGATGAGGATGTATGGATGCGTTTTTCAACAGACAACGAGCAGCTGGCAATAACGAACGTGAGCAGAAAAGACAACGGAGCATACCGGTGTGTGGCGAGCAACAATGTTGGGAATGCTACCTCCAATGCCGCCATAGTGACTGTTCGATGTGAGTTTAACTATGCTTTACGATACGACTTAGATATAAATTGTTGTATATTTAACATTCATCTTTGGTAAAAAATTTTTAAGGAACGTCGGTTTCATTTGTTTTCTTATTTGATACAGTGCTCTAACCAACAGGTCGCACTACATCTTGTAAATTATGTCTGATTTTGTAAAGACTCATAATTTATTTTTTATTATTTATATTTACAGTTGCTCCTGAAATCTCCGAATCTCCACGTGATACCACGGAAGTGGAAGGACAAACTGCTGTGTTCAATTGCGTAGTAGCAGGATACCCTACACCTGATGCTGCTTGGACAAAGAATGAAGCGGAATTGAATGTGGCTGCAGATGCGCGACTTAATACATCTTTCAATGATGGAAACCACCAATTGACTATATCAAATGTCCAGCAATTAGATGCAGGTCAATACAGATGTGTGGCTAATAACAGTTTGGATACTGTGACTTCATCTCCAGCGACCCTAACAGTGCATTGTAAGTCTAAGAGAACTTTTTCAGTGAAGCTTGCGAGTGTTGAATATTCCTTTATTTGTTTTGTTTTGTTTAATTGAGCCGTACCCTCTTCCGCAAGGTGAAACGGAAGTGTCTAAGAAAACCTGACACTAATCGCGTTCTATGGCGTCATTATAATCTATGCAAAATTGTGTAAGCTGGTAATATTTTTTTGCGTGCTAGCGAGAAAGCTAATCGAAGTAAACAACAATTCAAATGAATTCATTTTCCATAGTTTCGGGCAAATTTGCAATTCAGTGTCCGCCTTCAATTATATACTTTGCTTTAAGGATATAGAAAAATATTCGGTGATATTTGGTGTAGAGTAAGAACAGGACGTTGTTCGATTGGCATCGTGCTTATGAAACCAGATTTAAATGTTTAAGCGGTTTTTCAGTGCCACGGTCGTCTAAGAAAGTTGGATCATTGCCGCAGAATCTCAAGGTTTTACGGATTTCTTTAAAAGATAGCTACGCTGTACGTGTGAATAAAGGGCGACCTTGTCAGTAGAAAAAAATCGCTGCAAGAAACAACTATTTTTAATTTATTAGCTTCGCAGCACCGTTCGCAAAGAGACCGAAAGTTGAAGGCGGACAATCCTCTTGGCGCAAGACCATTGAGATAGAGCACCTGGTCTTCCATGAGAGCTTTAACGGGCGGCACAATAAATGTAGTGAACGGTTTCTTGTAGAGAAGAGAGGCGATCGATATCTGGCGCGGCTTGATATATTGAAGATTTTCCATAGCCAATTAGAAACGAAACGGAGACGTCGTAATCTTCAAAAAACACATCTATGGTTGTCTGCTGTTCTTCTTGAAATGTCTCTATCTCAAAAGTCGCGGAAACTGGTCTTCAAACCTCGTCGTAGGTCTCCCTTATTCGTAAAGTCGACCGTGAAAGCACTCTAATCACCAGCTTGATCGTAATTTTGAAAGAAAACCAACAACTCTAGCCATTCAGAATTCAAGAAAGAATCGACAAAAAGGGTTTACTAATTAAAAGCCATTGTATGTTTTCTTGCACAAGAATGACATCATAGAACAAGTTTAGTGTCAGGTTTTCGTAGACGTTCCCACGCTTCCATTCCACAATCTCGGGGGGGGTGAAGGGTATGGCTACACGCAGGCTACCATAAGTACCCTAGATCATTCTTTTACAGACCTTACTAATTTCTGTGGTATGCGAATATGCTCTGGATTTGACTTTCACTACTTAGCGACTTAATTCAAAATGTTATATAGTACCTCGATGGATGAATGTTTATGTCGGCCATTGGCACACCAACCCGTCACCACCACCCCCCTCCCTGACGATTGATCCCCACTCCATCACCTGAACCCACCAAACCCCCCCACATAAATAAATCCCACCCATCCCCATCAGACCCCCTCACCAACTCATCACCACCACATTAAATTATCCCAAACTTGAGGTGGCTCCAAAGATCCCCAAACCTCCATCACTTATTTTTTGTCAAAACATTGCAAAAAGAGCGATTGGAGGAATTGTGAACTATGGGTGGGTTTACATGCTGGAAATGGAGCTAGGCTATTGGTGGGAATATGGTGAAGAGAAAATAAAAATGACTGAGTTGAATGAAAAGCGCTCGTTGATACCGTACGGATTAAGAGTGCCGATTTGAAAGATGATTTTTATTCTAGAGTTTTGCGGCTTATTGAACTGCCTATAGTTGGGGAAAGGCCGCAAACTGCCACACCTTCTTCACAGTTCTCAGACTTTGTCGTTTATGTAGTGACGACTCTGATTTCTCCGAATAATCAGAGGCAATGTGCCAATTTTTGATCGATAAACGTGGTTATTCTGTTTGTGTCATTCAAACAGGCCACCACTGCGCCTAACAAATTGATCGACAGTCAGCACTACAAACGGCTGCGAAGGAAAATACTGATCGCATCCCATTCACTTTCACATTTCACCCTCATAACCAAGCAGTTAAATCTATCATTCTTTAAAAACTTAAAATTACTAATTCGCTAATTTCATTCAAACGTGACAAAAACGGCATAGGCAACTTTTTGGTCAGAGGTTCATTTCAAACCAATGACCAACCTGGTGCAAAACTTGTCCGCGCCGTAGAATGAAATGACGAGGACGTATCCGTAGCAATCGCTAGACACTTAAATCTCCCTTATCATTCTAAACAGCATATGGCGGTTTGCGGCCTTTCTCCGCATCTAGACAGTTCGGGAAGCCGCAAAACAGTAGAATAAATTTTTATCTGTAAAATCGGCACTGTTAATTCCCACGGTATCAAAGAGCACCTTTCATTGAACTAAGTTATTCTTAAACGACTGTGAATATATGAAAGTCATATATTTGAACTGCGGATAAAGGCGTGAATATGAAAGCGATCTTCGCAGTAACTGAGCAGTGGTGAAAATAAGGCCTGAATAGCGTAGCTCCATTTTAAGCATATAAACCCACATACAACTCACAATTCCTCCAATCGCCATACCGATGTGTCGCTGAAAACAGCCTTAGAAATAATACCTTATATGCAGCCACACTGGAGGTGCAATGGAAGCAAATTGTATTTTCTAAAATATTGAGGAGCTGTAGCTCTCTAACATCCCGTTGTGCTTTGTTTCCACAAAAACTAGTGATTATTCAGTGCTCTAAACAAATTGAGATTGCATTTTCATAACCACTGGCAAGTTCCAAGAAAAGAACATTCTATTTCAATTTGTTTATCGATGTTTGGAATCTTTTCCTTCTTGTGCTTGGTTTACCTTTTTGCACGTCAAATGGTAAAGGCTCGCTCACACAGTTGACTTGCAAGGAGTATTTGGAGTATATTTTGAATCACGACGGAAAAATTAATTAAATCAATCATTTTTTTAAGGATTGAAATATCACTTGAAAGAGTAAGCAATAGACAGAGGTGAAAGGAATCGATTGACGTGATTTCTATCGACGAATGTCTGTTCATATACTTTGTTCATTTTTTAGAATTTGTAAAGTTTTTCGTTAACCCAGTTAGGCTGCAGGCTTTGAGATTCCTCAAGAAATTTATTGATACTAGTTTTTGTGTTTACTATATATTTTGCTAATGTGCAAGTTTTTCACGAGCTTGCAGTTTTCAGAATTTACTGACCTTACAAAACATTGGTTTTTGATAGCTGCCCGAAATTTACTCGTGATTTTCCATTAATATCCCCTCTTGAGATATAGATCATATCCGATTGTAAAACCTCTGACCGCAGACCGCAAAGCTGCTATTGTCATAAGATAATTCTGTTTGTTTTCAAAAAGAATAGCGACTCTTAGATATGGAATGTTTTGTTTGTTTTGCCTATAGATAATAAGAAAGTTAGTCACTGGGAACATATTACGATAACTGCGAACCAATGTTTACTCTCTCTTTGTTACAGTTTCGACTGAAACGTTTCACCATGCTAACTCAAGACGAACGTTTCCATTTGGGTAACGTGATATAGCGATAAATTATTCCACTTGGAGTCTGCGACCTCAGTACATAAAACTCCCTGACTGTCTGTAATCAGACGCATTCGCCTATCTTGTGTACCTCGCTGTTCAAATTTCAAAATCAAGACAGTCCTAAGTGACTTAGTATCGTCTCTTTTTATATTCTGAGTTACTGAATATTAATGATCGGCCTTGAACTTAAAAAAATTTTGTTGATTTGATTGACTCGTCATGTCTGTCAATTTGCCTATAATCGGTTGCTTGGCAAATTTGCATACCATTGCATTTAAATTTGCCCAAAACGATAAATTGACTATGCTCTTTAAACGGAAGGAACACGCGACAGTTTGATGCTGAAATGGTTGTTAGAATAGCTTTCCTTCTTTTAATTGCTGTACCTCTTACACATCAAGGTTAGTTGCCTCAGCTATGCGAGTACATTCTAGTTTGTCAGTTCAGGCTGTGACACGTCCGTGTCGTAGTGATATGCAAACATACAAGATCTCTAGATTTTAGGCCTTACTAGCCAATCCAGGGCACTTTTTTAATCTCTTATATATTTAAGTTTATAATGCCAGCTCATTTTCGACCGATATCAGTTTCAATTAACAAGTTTTCCTTGATTTATGACAAAACTTCCGGGTGCTCTGTGAGCTTACACTTGTCCCGCGATTAAGTGAATTTGTTTTATGTAAAGACGTGTGTTAAGTTTTGTTTGCACCTCTGGTTTATTCGATTTGCTCTTCATAAATCGAAAGACGATAATTTGTACTCAAGCAGTGAGCTAAGCGAGATCGATTAGTTAATACGTTTGAAAGGGCTCGTCTCAGCTTGAGGTTTTCACATACATTCGAATCATAACAAGCAATTAATTTGACTTATGATGCTTAGGTATATTCAATCTAAATTCTTAAGCACAAAGTGGAGTAAAAATTGAGAATTGTTAACAAGTTTAATCAGGCATTATTTATTGTTTGGTGTAACTAGAGCTCAGCTGTTTTCGATTGAATGACCCCAAGGAATTTTGAATTTCAGCTCTTACGGATGATGAAGTTTGTCAATTTTTTTTACCTCAAAGGCTGGTTTTTTCTGTTGAAAACTATAATAGGGCAGTTATTAAGGGTAAGAGAACTTTCCTTAATGAATTGGTAAATCTAAAGGTTCTTTTGGAAAGCTTTGGGAAAAAAACTATTGTGCGTGTCGTTTAAAGCGCAACTCACTTTCAAGGCCTTTCGAAAGTCGTGCCTGGTTAATTCGCCTATTTTCCTCTTTGAAACATTCGGTTTTTAATCTTTACCCAACCTTGCTATGTTAAGATTTAGTTTTGATCAACAATCGAAAGCCGTAATTGTAATTGTCACGACTAGTAATTAAGATCTACGGCAAATTGACTTAGACATGACGGTGACGTAAGCGATAAGTACAGAAGTTTCGTTTTTGTCTTTTTTTTTTTTTTTGCCATTCTTTTATGCTTTGTAATTTATTCATTTAAATGCTTTCTGCAATATCCGATGAATTTCACTGAGCAACATTCGGTAAACTTTCCAGATCCTTTCACTGCTAGAGTTGATCAACCTGTACTCTCTCTCCTTACAAATCAACACGTCTTCAAATGACTAGATGATGAAACTTAAGGAAATAATGAACTGGAGCTAAGATTATTACATAAGTAGGTAGAAAGCACCCAGTAAAGAGAATGTTTATTTGGATATTGAACGTGAAATGATTTAGACGCCTAGACAACTGCAAATGCAAAGGCAATCGAGCGTGAAGGAGATGCAAAATATGCCACTTTGATTTGTGTAAACTTCCCGTGGGTCTACTTAAGGCACTGTCACGCCATTTAAACTCATTTTTTTTTAAGAGGGCGGAAAAGAAAACAAGAAGATATCAAAATAGATAGGCTAACCACGACTATTACGCTAAAACGGCAAAAACTGAACTTCTTGCAAGCTGCTTGCTTTCACTGTTTATACATTTGAGTTAGTTTATCTAAATTACACGAAGACGGACATTTTTCACAATTTTGCTATTGTTTTGATAAAGAAATGAAAAGCACAGTGGGAAAACTTTAAGTTTTTTTTTTACTGCTCTCCGTTGCCGGCAATTATTGAACCCACTGCATGTTCCCTAAATGTGCTTTTTAAATTTTTAGGCACGAACGTGAGAGAAATGTCGACTGATATCAGTTAGGACGAATGTTTGATAGTAGATCAGCTATGTTGCACTTTTAAACCTCTGAATAATGCCTTGATTTTATGGAGAGAGGTTAAATGTTTATCACTTATGGGAGTTAAAGGGTTAAA